TATTATTTGTTCGATTTGTAGGTTTGATTAGTCAAGTGTTATTTTTTCTAGGTAGATATTTAAATTAAAGTACTATAGTATTTTTATTTCGTCGTTCGAAGACACTTTGTTCATTGTTTACGTTGATTGATACAGTAGCTATATTAGTTAGGTTAGATTAGTGAAGTGGTTTATTTATAAGTAGATGTCTAAAGTAGTTAGGTTTTTGATAATAAAACGTATAATATAGTTTACCACTCAGTTTTGGTTTAGCATTGCAAATATAACCCTTATAGGAAATAGAAGTCTTTTAAATTAAAATGGGAGGAGGTATTTGTGGTAATGCGAAAATAACTTCTTCTGTTCTTTCACGCGGCTGAATCGATTTTGGTATAAAGGTAGTTTGAGTCCTGGAAAAGCAAGGCTTTACCGCGGCAGAACTTCTCATTCCCACGGAAAAATCTAAAACGCGCGTTATAACCGAATTCCACGCAAGCGAACAGCTGTTTGTTTGTTTGCCTGTCTTAAACGGCAAAACGGAGGTACTTAACGTGATTTTTCAACTGAAGGTAGTTGAAGGAATGGGTAGTCACATAGGCTACGTTTTATCTTTTTGTGACGCGAGCGAAGCCGCGGGTTTAAATAAGCTAGTATTTAAATAATTATTAGCTATAAAATTAGTTGTCTAGATGAAGTAAATGTTGTGCCTTATTTTGTATTTGTTCTTTCATCGGTTGCGAAATTATTCGAGATTGTGCTGGGGTAACGTTTTTGATTTTGCTAGATCTTTGAAATGGTTAAGCGGTTTCTTATCATATTTTGTACATGGCTTCTTAGGTATTAGTTTAAATTTGTGCTGCATAAATTAACTAAAATAATACATAGCTTAAAGATTATTTCATTATATAGAAAAACATTTCAATTGGTCTCAGCACTCTCAATAAGAGCTCTAAAGACTACGTTATTTTAAAGCTTGTAACTGCCTTCAAATGTATGTGAAGTTTCATTAGTATCCTGCAAATATTTAACACTAGCTGTGCCCGCGACTTCGTTCGCGTGGAATAGTGACTATGAGCAGCGTTTTTTTTTTTAAATATATGCTCACGACGTGATTCTTTAATTTGACATAACTTTTTTATTTATGAACCGATTGACATGAAACAAACACTAAAACATAACTGAAGCATACCACAATATATTCGTGAAAACCGCATCCAACTCGGATCAGCCGTTTCTGAGATTAGCGTGAACAGACAAACAGACAAACAAACAAAAAAAAAGTTAATTACATTTTTGGGTTCGACATCGACATAACAATAACCCCTGCTATTTTTTTTATTTTTATTTTCAACTAGCTTATTTAAACCCGCGGCTTCGCTCGCGTCACAAAAAGATAAAACGTAGCCTATGTGACTACCCATTCCTTCAACTACCTTCAGTTGAAAAATCACGTTAAGTACCTCCGTTTTGCCGTTTAAGACAGGCAAACAAACAAACAGCTGTTCGCTTGCGTGGAATTCGGTTATAACGCGCGTTTTAGATTTTTCCGTGGGAATGAGAAGTTCTGCCGCGGTAAAGCCTTGCTTTTCCAGGACTCAAACTACCTTTATACCAAAATCGATTCAGCCGCGTGAAAGAACAGAAGAAGTTATTTTCGCATTACCACAAATACCTCCTCCCATTTTAATTTAAAAGACTTCTATTTCCTATAAGGGTTATATTTGCAATGCTAAACCAAAACTGAGTGGTAAACTATATTATACGTTTTATTATCAAAAACCTAACTACTTTAGACATCTACTTATAAATAAACCACTTCACTAATCTAACCTAACTAATATAGCTACTGTATCAATCAACGTAAACAATGAACAAAGTGTCTTCGAACGACGAAATAAAAATACTATAGTACTTTAATTTAAATATCTACCTAGAAAAAATAACACTTGACTAATCAAACCTACAAATCGAACAAATAATAATCAAGATAAGCGCTACATGCGTACCCTAAAATATAGTTGATACGGAAGCTCGGAACCTATACTTTCGCCGGTAACGAAACCATAGCGCCATCTAACTCGATCCTAACGCCATCTATCGAGCGTTGAAACAACAGCATACAATATATTTGCTAATTGTTGAGTATTGTTGCCACTATGGTTTCGTGTACCTTTAACAATCTAAAATCTATAAAATACGCAACTTAATGTAAAATGGTTGTAATTGCTATAATGTATACTTGTTACTCAACCAAAATTTAAAAGCGAAGAATACTTAAAAAACACAGCGCTATTCCGTTTTATAAACACTCAGCGCCATCTATCGCCAAGTAGCGTAACTACTACATAGTCACCAATTTTGTGTACCTTTAACAACCTAAAATCTATAAAATACGCAATTTAATGTAAAATGGTTAGAACCAAAATTTAAAAGCGAAAAATACTTAAAAATAGCGTAACTATTACATAGACACCAATTTCATGTACCTTTAACAACCTAAAATCTATAAAATACACAATTCAATGTAAAATGGTAGGAACCAAAATTTAAAAGCGATAAAAGTACTTTAAAAGCACAACGCTACCCCGTTTTATAAATACTCAGCGCCATCTATCGCCAAGTAGCGTAACTACTACACAACGTTACCACGTTGTGTTTTTTAAGTATTTTTACATAAAAAATAGCAAATAAACGAAAAGCGCACTGAATAAGTGTAGATTAACACCAAATAAGCGCTATAGATTAAAGCGTGAAATTTCCAATTAGTTGGTAATTCGTTGAATTGTTTTAGATGGCACAAAGCGCCATCTACAGGAATACACACAGCGCCATCTATACTAATATTTTTGTTTTCCCTCGGGAATATCACATTTTTCCGGGATAAAAAGTACCCTATTATTTAATCTGGACTTCTAACTTTACGTCTGCAAAATTTCAAAGCAATCGGTTTAGTAGTTACGGCGTGATGGTGGAACAAACAAACAAACAAACAAACTCACTTTCAGATTTATAATATTAGTAAGGATGTACAGACAGCACTTTTCTACAATTTTATTATATGTATAGAAGTTATGATAACTGAATGTTCTGTCTCCTGCAATAATTCACCGAGGGAAGTGGAAACTATCGTTTTTTTTTTCTTCTCCTCTTAAAATATCTTCTGATTCACTCCGTTGCGGGAACCAAGACAGTTATTCATGTCCCTGGGACGAGCTGGACTTCAGTGTTCCGGTGTTTCGTGGTTGTATCTACTGTAGATGCTGGCTTACAGGAGTTGCAGCGGTTTTGGGAAGTTATAGCAGGCTCGTCCCTTACAAAAACTAATATTTGACATACTATTCAGTTCATATATCCAATCCAGTGGCCAAATAACAAAGCGCGCATCAAGACCGTGCTCGTGAAGAACTCAATATCATCATAACTTGTTAAATACTTACAGGATACTTATCAAACTTCCCATACATTTGAATTTTGAATGCAGTTACAAGCTTTAAAATAACGTTTAAAGTAAGTCTTTAGAGCTCTTATTGAGAGTGATGGAACAGATTGAAGTGTTATTCTATTTAATGAAATAACCTTTAACACATTGGATGCCGTGTCGGACAATGATGTCCGACGCTAGCGAAGTATTAGCCTTTAACAGTTTTTGTCGGCAGTAAAAGGTTTTAACTATGTATAATTAAGTTTTTTAAAGCAGCACAAATTTAAAGTAACACTTAAGAAGCCATGTACAAAATATGATAAGAATCCGCTTAACTATTTCAAACATCTAGCAAAACCAAAAACGTTACCCCAGCAAAAACTCGAATAACTTCGCAATCGCAACCGATGAAAGAACAAATATAAAATAAGGCACAACATTTACTTCATCTAGACAACTAATTTTATAGCTAGTAATTATTTTAATATTCCTATTGGAAAGAAAAAGGTCTGGCTGGGGTAACGTTACCCCAGCAGGAAATGTTTTTGTCAAGTAATTAAAAAACTATAAGCGCAACAAATTTGAAAATGTGCGCAATGATTACAGAAGCCGCAAAACTAATTATCTATAAGATTCAAATGACCATTTTCGACCACATCTGGCCTGGGTAACGGATACCTATATGTATACTGTGACGAGGGTGACGAACGTAGAGCTCTTTTCTTTATTTCACGGGAGTAAACCGGTTTTTAATTAATGTATGAAGTAGGTAGCTATTCTATGGATACCCTTAAAAAAAACTACATTAAATCCATATAATTTTATCAAAGTCAAAGTATTTATTTCAATTAACCCTTTGAGTACCGTCATTATAGATACAATTAAAGAACAATAGGTTGCGGTCACCGGTGTCCTTGTGGTGATTGATAGTTTAAACTGTCAAACACCAAGCGGTCACCGGTGACCGCGACCTATTGTTCTTTAATTGTGTCTATAAAACCGGTACTCGACGAGTTAAACCATAATTTGGTACTTTTGAAACGTCAACAAATACAAAATAAATAATAGTCTGTCAGTCAGTCCATCAGTGAAGCTAGGTGCTCAAATTTTAACTACGTTTAAAATATTTACTATTCCATGAAAAAAAAAAATCTCCAAACCCATCTTTTTTGAAGTCGGTTAATTAATATACTAAAACCTTCTCTTTAGTGTAACAAACACTTTTCTGACATGTGCACAAATATAAACACCAGGTCAAAAGGAGAAACTCAGTGAGAAAGAAAAGGCAATTACTTTTGAAAAAAAAAAATTATAATAATATGCTATGCATACATAACAAAAAGCTGTGGATACAAAACCATCAATTAAAATCAGATAATACAGCTTCCTCATAACTTTCGAGTACGCTCGACTAATTTCGACCTGCGATCGGGGCCCTTAATCGTATGCAATACGCGCGACGACCATTCCTCGTATTGGTACAATCGAGTGAGACTGTATTATCTAATTTACGGATTCTTTAAATCATATAATAAAAATTTATACTTAAGGTTTAAAAGAAATGACAAAAATCTTAGTCTTAAACTATTATGGCCGATTTTTAGTATCCAGTGATTATCATGCCTTTTTCTACTTGGTCAGCCTTATCTTTGCCAGTCAGTAATTCAATTAGTTTCAATCCAAACCAATATGCTGTGCCGGGACCCTGAAAAAGACAAAAAACTAATTTTAATAAATTAAATGCTATGGAGATCACCGGGAACGACTTTAGCAGAAGGATTTGCCTTCAACAGTTGTCTATTGGAAGTCAAAACCTTAAGAATGTGTTTTGGCAAATAGGTCGCAACCTCGCGGTTTTGGGAGGTTGTGGCGGGTTTGTCCCATATTAGCGGTCTGCCACGAGTGTGGCTGCGTCGAAGATACGGCGCAGCACACTCTGGCAGAGTGCCCCCAGTGGGCATCGGAGAGGGCGAGCCTGGTGGCTGTTGTCGGTGCCGACCTCTCGCTGCCTGCCGTAGTCAGTGCTATGGTCGGCGGCCAGAGGTCGTGGGAGGCGATGGTCTCCTTCTGCGACGCAGTCATGTCGCAGAAGGAGGCGTCGGAGCGCGAGAGGGAGGACGATCCCCTCTCGCATCCGACGCGAAGACGGCGAACGGGACGGAGGAGGCGCGGGTATGCCCGCCTCCTTCCTCCTCCCTAGTAGCTAGTGGGGCAGGGGGCGGCCGGTCGGAGCAACCGGTCGCCCACGTCGCAGCGCCCCGAGAGGGGGCGGCATCCGCGGTGTGCGCGGGCGCCGCCCGCAGGAGAAGGAGCCCGGCGCTTCGTCATGCCGGGCTGGCGCAGGGCGGGTCGCGAACGAAGTGCGAAAGTACAGTTCTTGTGGCCCGCCCTCATGCGTGAGTGGCACACCCCGGGGTTTTTAGTGGGTTCGAGCCCCACATAACCCGGCCTCGGCCCCGCGAGGCCGGGTATGCACGGCATTTTCCCCGGGCGAGAAAAAAAAAAAAAAAAGGGTTTGTCCCATATTTTCTTAAGGGGGGAAAATCATCGAAGTACTTCTCTCGCCCGGGTGAGGTGGGAGGGCGTGTCAGACTCTTACTGACTACAAACCACCCCGTTCCTATTCCTACTTCTAGCCGGGCCTCAGCACTAATAAAAAAAACTGCATCGTTGGCAGTGTGGTCATAATTGCGGCCGAGGGGTCTCGGGTTCGTTTCCCAGGTCAGACAAAGTATTACTGGGGTTTTTAAAAGACAAATTATTACGTGAGTAAGCCGAGAACATAATAACGAATTAAATAATTATGTTTTTAAATACTTAGGTTAAGAACTCACGGCGAGATCTTCTCCCGCGCCCGCCGCGGTGGCGGAATGGACGCGGAATTTTCAAATTTTACGAGACCGCAGTTTTCTGCAATCCCGCAGCTGCCACGGTTGCGACTATCACCCGCAAACTTGGCGGTTGATTATCGCAAGACGGGCGGGCGGTTAAACAATCAGTTGAGTTCCACAACGGCGGGAGATCGCCATGGGACTATGGCGATCGCCCGCCGATGCAGCGGGAGCCGCGAACAATGGCAACCGCCGCGGGCGTACACGCCGTGAAAATGTGTGCGTTACCCAGGCCAGATATTGTCGAAAATGGTCATTTGAATCTTATAAATAATTAGTTTTGCGGATTCTGTCATTGTTGCGCACATTTTTAAATATGTTGCGCTTATAGTTTTTTAAGTATTTCACAAAAACTTTTCCTGCTGGGGTAACGTTACCCCAGCCGGACCTTTTTCTTTGTAATGGGAATATTTAAATGATTACTAGCTATAAAATTAGTTCATCGGTTGCGAAGTAATTCGAGATTTTGCTGGGGTAACGTTTTTGGATTTATTATATCTTTGAAATGGTTAAACGGATTCTTTTCTTATCATATTTTGTACATGGCTTCTTAGGAATTAGTTTAGTTCTGCAATAAAAAATCCAAAATAATACATATGTTAAAGGTTATTTCTAGCTGGGGTAACCCCACTAAAATCTCGAATAACTTCGCAATCGCACCCGATGAAAGAAATAAGGCACAACATTTACTTCATCTAGATAACTAATTTTATAGCTAGTAATCATTTAAATATTCCCATTACAAAGAAAAATGTCTGGCTGGGGTAACGTTACCCCAGCGGGAAAAGTTTTTGTGAAATAATTAAAAAACTATAAGCGCAACGTAATTAAAAATATGCGCAACAATTACAGAAGCCGCACAACTAATTATCTATAAGATTCAAATGTCCATTTTCGACAACATCTGGCCTAGGTAACGCACACGTGAAAATTGCTTTGATTTTTTACACACATATCTGTTTTCTAGGCTCCAGGCCTGAAAGCGTGGCGGGCGCGGGAGACAATAGCCGTGAGTCCTTAGCCTTAAACTTACCCTGCTAGTCACAACGTTTCCATCAACCACGACTCTCTCTCCTTCAACATAGGTATAGCAGTCTGCTGGTATCTTGTCCTTCGTGGTAGGGTACGATGTAACCTTCTTGTTCTGAGCTATGCCATGGGCTACGAATGCTGTTGGTGCTGTAATAAAGAAAATAATTAATGTAGTCAATTCAAACGAAACGAATTCCTTACTACAAATTACAATTTCATATGTCCCATCTTGTACATATTATAATACTAGCCTCTGCCAATAGCAGTAGCGGCTAGTGGGTTATCGAATTGGTAGTGCAGTTTACTTAAATATTAAAATTATTCGAGATTTTACTGGGGTAACGTTTTTGGTTTTGCCAGAGCTTTGAAATAGTTAAGCGGATTCTCATCATATTTTGTCCATTACTTCTAAAAATTAGATTAAAAGTAAATATTAAAATGGTAATATAAAAATAAGTAGGTAGGCACTTAATATGTTGAATTTTTTAAATCCTAAATAATTTGGTGGTTCAGGGCACAAATGCGCTTAAGGTACAGCCATGGGATATAAACCAGCCCCGTTTTATTTCAGACTATAATCTACCCTTGTACCAAATTTTAATGTGATTGAATAACAAACATATAGTTTTGGGGTCCACCAGTGCAGCGGAAAGTAAATAAGATATACTAGGTTAAAAAACGCTGTCTAATAAAATATAATCTTATGTACAGGCATTCATGCATTGAGAAAAATTATGAGGTAAGAAAAGAAAAGTATTGACAGATTTTATTGAAAGAAGAAAATAAACTAAAGAAAAAAGGTTAGCTAACTAATAGTAAATAGTATGAATATGAGGAAGGTACAGAAATACAACAATAATGAAATGATAACAACGAAACGTAGGAGAGCAGCCTACAATACAATGTTGATTTTGTGAGACATTAAACTGTTCGACAAGTTTACTCAACTACTTTAAGCCATGACTGGAGCTCTTAATCATAAAAACACTAAGTAAGAATAAGGGAAAATAGAAAGGGTACGTTAATCATCGGCCACCGTGGGCAATCATTTCGGGCCTGACACAAATTAAAAAGAAGTCGGTTAAAAACTATTTATGTCTAGTCCTAGGCTCACCCCTTATTACATGGGACTCATAACAGAAATAGTGAAAAGTGGATGTTTTATTTTATAGTGGCATTAAGTGCCGTAATGTGCACCTCCGCCTACCCTTTCAGGGATAAAAGGCGTGATGTTATGTTATGTCTAGTCCTAGGTTGAAATAAGGTTTTTTTATGGCATAAGCCAGTATACGAGCAGACGGATCACCTGATGGTAAGCAATCGGTGCCGCCCATGGACACCTGAATTACGAAGGCGTTACAATGCATTCCCGGCCTTTTGGGAATTAGGAATTTGAGGACTGTGGAAGATTCGGGGATTGGGGACATTGGAGAGGGGTCTAGATAAAAGTTAATTATCTATTTCTTTACCAGCACAAATAGCAGCAACAATCTTTCCTTTCTGTTCGTGTTCCTTCAGAATATTGCCGACTACCACTGATTTAGACAGGCGATCCGATCCTTCTAGACCTCCCGGCAATATGACCTGGAAGATAAACAATGATTTTTTTATTATGATACAAATACAACAGACAGACAAAGTCAAAGTCAAAGCATTTATTTCAATTAAACCACAGTTTGGTACTTTTGAAACGTCAACAAATACAACATAAATAATAGTCTGTCAGTCAGTCCGTCAGTGAAACTAGGTGAAGCTAGATGCTCATTCCAAAAAGTAGATTCGAATGGAGAAGAACGAGCAAGAAACTCCATTCGTTACTCTTTTTAAAAAAGTATGTTCTACAATGTCTTTGATACATATTTCAATACTGTACGCATATGTAAGAACAATGCAAAGACACGCTTGACGCATTATACTAATAACTTACTAAATTTAAAAAAAAAAAAATCTTAAAGTCTAACATGGTGCTCACATATGCATACTGACAATACATAGAATTAGTGCTTCTATACAAGAAAAGAACTCTTTGTTTCAATAAAGAAATGCTCGATGCCATAAGGAAACTAGATTGTCTACATTAGAATTAAAGTGTTAAATTATGTATTAAATTACCTACTATTGGAATTTAGCTACTGACTACATTTGAGTATTGTCCAGTGGAGCCGAACAACATGCTGCCAAGCATTCTTATCTTCAAGATAATCTGTCAGTGTGTAGTAAGCTTCATTACATAATTCGCGCTTAATATGTTTTAAATTTACTTTCATTGAGATCTAGTGTAACACTTCCTACCAGTTCCTGCTCCAATATCAACAGTGCCACAACCAACGCCATCTTGTGTAAACATTCTTAGTTCCAATATTCAATAATGTTCTACAACTAACGCCATCTTGTGAAAACATTATAAACTGCTTAGTTCCGATATCGACTAATGTTCTACAACTAACTTTATCTTGCGTGGATATTATAAACCTTACTTAGTTCCGGTGTAGTTCCTATATAATTATTTAATTATTAATGAGTTATTGTTAATTACAAATTCACTATAAATTATTAATTTGCATTGACTATATTATTATAATATGATTGTAATTTAAATGTTTATTATCTAAATAACTACTTACTTTATGGATGTTAAATTGACTAATTGATTGCTTCCGGTTGTTGTTCGTTGTGCGCTGTGATTTTTGGAGGGACATTATTAAAAACCTGCTTCGAGTTCGAGGTGTGCATCTTTTATTTGGCTATTTGCTGCACCTATATAATATAATTTTCAACACCTTATCATAGTTCAGAAGTGGGATGGAGGGATTCCACGGTCCATATTATCGCGGTCTCGGGAAGAAGTCGTCATGTTCGGAATCTTCGACGGATGAAGGCGGCAAAGAAAATGGACGTTTTTTTTCTGAAAATGCAAAGGATCAGCCATCGACGAAGATACGAAGAATCACTTACCTGGACACAGAAATCATACCGAAATTTGATCCAAGTAAGAAATTTATGAACGTGAAAGGATGGCTACACAAAATAGATCAATTGGGAGATATAAACGGCTGGGAAGAAAAGGATCGCATCTTCTGCATGCAAACTCGATTACGAGGTGCTGCACGTGAGTGGTACGATGATTTGGAGGATTACAGCGCCACGTGGAATACGTGGAAGGATTGGCTGCTGAAAGCATTCCCTCGATCCACCGATTTCGTCGATCGTTTAGAGGAAATGCTAGCACGTAAGAAGTCCAATAGTGAAACGATGACGAAATATTACCACGACAAGATATCTCTGATGAGAAAATGCGAGCTCGAAGGAGAAAATGCTACCTCTTGTCTCATACGTGGACTCCCCGCTGAATTACGCGCCAACGCGAAGGCTTGTGGCTACAATACGCCTGAGGAGTTATATTACGGGTTTCTGTCGTCTCTGGACAACTATAAGAAGATAGAAGATAGGGCTGGACCGAATTTGGCTGGATCAAAGTCAAGGTCTACGTGGCGACGAGGATTCGTCACCGACTACCCGAAGATTTGCTACAATTGCCGGCGGACGGGGCATGAGGCGAAAGACTGTCGGGCTACGCGCTGCCTGACTTGCCAGCGCATCGGACATTCTTCGGATACATGCTGGTACGGCGCCGGGAGCTCACGAGGAACACCGGCGTTACAAACGTATAGGAATCAACAGGTACGAAATATCTTCCACATTTCTACCGAAATAATTTCTGATGTGTACAGGAAACGAATCAATATCAATAATGAATTTGAGGCTTTTGGGTACGTAGACACCGGCAGTAAAGTTAATATAATCTCTTTACAAATAACTAAAATTCTACAACTAATAATGTCGTCTTCCGATGTAATTATGAGAGGGTTTGGTGGGTGTCTTATCAACTCCTTAGGAAGAACTAATTTTACGTTACGCATTGACGGGTTAAGTATCCAAACGAGTGCAGAGGTAACAGATGCTAACTTGAATAACATTGATTTGATCATAGGCCAACCAATAATAAATCGGAATGATCTAATTCTAATTGTAACTGCAAAATCAGTAACATTCGTTGCGAATAGCGATGATAACCTAAAAGATATTTCCTTGTCTTACCAAGATTTTATTTCAAAAGTGCCCTTATTTTTGTCATGTGATATCGAAGTGTTGCCGGGTTCAAGTATCGAAATGTATGTTTATACTAATTATGATTTGACACCTACCGCTATACTTGCTACTCGTTCCGTTTTATATGAATTAGGTAAAGAATCGTACTATATACCGCAGATAATTAGTCGACCGAATAACATACGATTACGATTAATAAACTTAGGCGACTCTCGTATAAAGTGGCCCGCGGGTAAATTAGTAACGCGCGCAGAAGTAATCATGACTCTCGACGTAGGCTTTATTAATAATAGTCAGAGTTCGATTACTAGTCCTTCGCTAAACAAGATATTTTCTTCTTCCGATTTAAATATTGGCAATATAGATGATAAATATTCTGAATCATTACTAAATTTATTAAATAACTATCGCTCTTGTTTTGCGGAGTGCAGTAGTGAGTTAGGTTGCACGGATCTAATAGAAATGCAAATATCGACAACAACTAATACACCAGTTTATTGTAAGCCATACCGATTATCTTACAAAGAAAAAGAAATAGTGCAGGAAAAGGTAAATGAATTAATGTCCGCTGGTATAGTCAGAGAATCGAACTCTGAATATGCTAGTCCTGTGATTCTAGTCAAGAAAAAGGCAGGTGATTATAGGTTATGTGTGGATTATCGCGCCCTGAATGCTCGTACGGTAAAAGATCGGTTCCCACTACCTCATATTGACGACCAGGTAAATAAACTCTCGGGGAAAGTATATTTCACCGTTTTAGATATGGCCCAATCGTATTACATACATAACATAACATCACGCCTTTTATCCCCGACGGGGTAGGCAGAGGTGCACATTAAGCCACCCACTTTTCACTATTTATGTTATGAGTCCCATGTAATAGGGGGTGAGCCTATTGCCATATACCGGGCACAATTCCAGACTCCGTGCTACTACTGAGATTTTTTTTAAACCCAGTAATACTTTGCCCGACCCGGGAATCGAACCCGAGACCCCTTGCCCGGCAGTCGCACTTGCGACCACTTGGCCAACTTGACCACTTGGCCACTTGGAAACTTGGCCCAATCGTATTATCAAGTGAAAATGTCGGGAAACTCGATCCACAAAACCGCGTTCATAACATCGTCTGGCCAGTATGAATTTATAAAGATGCCGTTCGGGTTGGCTAATGCGCCAGCAGTTTTCTCTCGATTAATCCGAAAAGCACTTGGGTCACTCGACAATAAGATAGCCACCTATCTTGATGACGTCACATTACCGTCTGTCACTATAGAAGAAGGGTTAGAATTATTGGAAACTGTACTAAAACTACTTTCTCGGGCAAACCTTAAACTAAATTTAAAAAAATGTTCCTTTTTGAAAACTAGTGTAAATTATTTAGGTCATGAAATTACCGAAGGATCTATACGACCCGGTCAAGCGAAGATTGACAGTGTCATTAACTTTAGGCAGCCACGAAACGTTCATGAACTGCGTCAGTTCATGGATTAACATCATATTTCCGTAAATTTGTTAAAGGGTTTGCTGAAATTGCCAGACCATTGACTAGTCTAACAAAGAAAGATGTAGCATGGGTATGGGGTTCGGAACAGGACCGCTCTTTTAACCGTCTGAAAGTGATACTAACTGAACGTCCTGTTTTAGCAATATACAACCCATATGCGAAAACAGAAATTCATACTGATGCGAGTAGTTTAGGGTTAGGCGGTATTCTACTTCAGTATCAAGATGACGGTGCTTTGAAACCTGTAGCCTATTTTAGTCGCGTGACTAGTCCAGAAGAAATGCACTATCATAGTTATGAGTTGGAAACTCTCGCTGTTGTGGAATCCTTAAAACGATTCCGAATATATGTGACTGGTATCCCAGTAAAGATAGTAACAGATTGTGCAGCATTGAGGACAACACTTACAAAAAAAGACTTAATTCCCCGAATAGCTCGTTGGTGGTTGACTATCCAGGACTTTGATACTGAAATCGAATATCGCGCCGGGGACCGAATGAAGCACGTAGACGCACTCAGTCGTAATCCTATTCATAGTATTCCTATAATGCGTATTGATGAGGCCGACTGGCGTCTGACTCTGCAGTTACAAGACGATGCTGTGCAAAACATAATCACCCGCTTAAGTCAGGGCACGGATAATTCAGATTTAGCCAGTAACTATAAAATTATTAATGGGTGTCTGTTCCGTAAAACGTTACACGGCGATAGATTTGTTATACCTAAACTTTCGAAATGGTCACTATTACAGAAATATCATGACCAACTAGGACATCTGGGGTTTGATAAGTGTGAAAAGGCTATAAAGTCCGAGTTTTGGTTTCCCGGTATGACAAGATTTATTCGTAAATACATAACCGCTTGCTTACAATGCGCCTATGCTAAGGGAAATTATGGTAAGGTCGAAGGCGAACTACACCCTATACAAAAGGTAGCCGTACCAATGCATACATTACACGTTGATCATTTAGGACCATTTTTAAAAACACGTAAGGGTAACTGCTATATTCTTGTTATTATAGATTCTTTCACAAAATTCGTATTTGCACTACCAGTTAAGGGTACAAGTTCTATAGAGACAATTAAAAACTTGAAAGAAGTTATCCGTACTTTTGGCCACCCCCACAGAATAATTACGGACAGAGGGGTAGCATTTACGAGTAGATATTTTAAAGAGTTTTCTGCCCAGGAACAATTTAAACATGTTTTAAATGCCGTTGCCTGTCCGCGTTCGAATGGGCAGGTTGAACGCGTAAACAGGACTATTATTAACGGTCTCAACACTACTGCTGAAAGTGAGTGCACATGGGATGAAAAACTATCAGACGTAGTGTGGGGTATTAATAACAGTCCTCATGCAGTTACGGGGTTCTCGCCATTCAGGCTTATGTTCTCACACAATAATTCTCGTTTTCCGGGTTATGTTACACAACATAGCCCTACTGATACTAACCCTCAAGAAAAGTTAGACGAACGCAGAATTAAAGCGAAGCTGCGCATTGATAAACACATGACCGTTATGAAAAACCAGTATGATAAAAGGCACAAAACCTGCAGAAAGTATCAGATTGGTAATTTAGTTCTATGGAAAGGGGGTTTAGCACGAGATAATACTGCCGGTGTGACCAAAAAATTAGGAAGTGTATTTACAGGCCCTTACAAAGTAACCAAAGCTGACCATACAATAGACCGTTATACAATTAGTAGTATACAAGGAATGAAGGGTTACAGAAAATTCAATGCAGTAGTTCCAGGTGATTCACTTCGACCCTATAAGGCGTCAGTATCAGATAGTTCCACAGATTCTGACCGCGAGGTTGATAGGGATGACTTGATTGATTTGTTGGAAAGCTAAATTGATATTGATTTGTTTGCAGTTTCCTAAAACACCCACTTAATTAATTAGCAATATTTTTAGCTATTAAAACTAGCCTAGTGGGCAAATATATTTTATCTAAGACTGAAAGTGTGATTAGTTTTTAAGAAAAGTTGAAGTTTGAAAGTTGAGTAAACTTATCTTATTGTATGGTAAATTGAAATAATGTATTTCTTACTGAGTAAACTACCCAATTACAAAAGTCAATAAACAAAACCGAATATTGTCATACTATCCAAATTTTTTTATAATAGGTACTTACTTATGTTATGATAATGATAATAATAATTAATAAACATGTATTTTTATGCACTGCTTCATCTTTCCCGAAAATGCACAAATAGTACAATTAACCCCAGCTTCTTATACTTATTGCATGTATGTCATGTGTTGCATGACAATTTAAGTAAATTTAATTTAATTGATATAGTGTTTTCAACTCAACGCATGCTGTGATGTCCTTCAAATGTGCATTAGTAGTAAGATTTTGTTAAATTCCTAATTTTAAGTTAATGTTAAATATGTAGCAACAACTGGAGCAAGCTGCACATGAAAACTAGACATGTAGCATTTATGTCTGGTTGGTTACGCTGATGGCTGGAAAACAAATCTGTGTGATTGGCAACAGTAATATCTCTATATTGAACTTTCTGGCCCAACATAAGTTCTGTGTGATGATTACAATAACATCCCCATGCTGAACTTTACAATCCAGTAGTAAATCTGTGTAATTAATTACTATAATATCTTCATGCTGAGCTGTGTGATCCAGCATAAGATCTGTGTGTTTGACTACAATAATGTCTTCATGCTGAGCTGTGTGATCCAGCATAAGATCTGTGTGATGGACTACAATAATGTCTTCATGCTGAGCTGTGTGATCCAGCATAAGATCTGTGTGTTTGACTACAATAATGTCTTCATGCTGAGCTGTGTGATCCAGCATAAGATCTGTGTGATTGACTACACAATAATATCTTCATGCTGTGCTGTGTGATCCAGCATAAGATCTATGTGATGATTAAAATAATATCCTCACGCTGAGCCTTAGGATCCAGTATTAAATCTGAATAAATTATTACCATAATATCTTCATGTTGAGCTGTGTCATCCAGCATAAGATCTGTGTGAGGTCTGTCCATATCCAATAAGAATGAACAAGTGTAACTATGTGAAATACTATTTATATTATTTCTACTCCAAAATTACGAATAATCTGAACTTAATTACTGTAGTCCTACTACACTATATGGCAGATAAATCTGTGTGATAATTATATATTGAACTCACTGCGCTGCTGATAAACAACATGAATCAAAATTATTTACCTACCTATTACCATACTTTCATCATGATAAAATTACTAGAGCAATGTACTGTGCTCTTGTTGTTTTCAGATACAACCCAAAAAGGATGCTGGAGAAGAACGCCGAGGAGGACCACGGCAGATGCAGGATGGCCGAGTGTAACACTTCCTACCAGTTCCTGCTCCAATATCAACAGTGCCACAACCAACGCCATCTTGTGTAAACATTCTTAGTTCCAATATTCAATAATGTTCTACAACTAACGCCATCTTGTGAAAACATTATAAACTGCTTAGTTCCGATATCGACTAATGTTCTACAACTAACTTTATCTTGCGTGGATATTATAAACCTTACTTAGTTCCGGTGTAGTTCCTATATAATTATTTAATTATTAATGAGTTATTGTTAATTACAAATTCACTATAAATTATTAATTTGCATTGACTATATTATTATAATATGATTGTAATTTAAATGTTTATTATCTAAATAACTACTTACTTTATGGATGTTAAATTGACTAATTGATTGCTTCCGGTTGTTGTTCGTTGTGCGCTGTGATTTTTGGAGGGACATTATTAAAAACCTGCTTCGAGTTCGAGGTGTGCATCTTTTATTTGGCTATTTGCTGCACCTATATAATATAATTTTCAACACCTTATCATACTAGTATGCTATTTGGTATTTTATTATAGCATTTAATACCTAACCCCATAAAGGATTTCTGTACTTTGGACAGTCTTTGCGGTATAGCTAACTTATTTTTGCCTCTAGTATTAAAATTGTGTCTATCGCTTCTTTTTTCAAACAATTGCCTATTTTTCCTTACATACATTATATTTTCATATATATATTGACAGGGCACCGTTAAAATATTTATGGTTTTAAACAATTCTCTCAGCGATTCGCACCGGGGCGTAAGTTATATATTGCTCGGATAGCCCGCTTTTGCAGAATAAATATTGATTCTATTTCTGCAGCTCGACCCCACAACAATATGCCGTACGACATTAAGTAATTCGGTATTCGACATTAAGTTATTAAGTAATTCGACAGTAAGTAATTCGGCATGAATCGGCGGAATAGAAATTAATAACTGCTTCGTGTTCTAGTGGTCGGTTCTATAGGAATGATATCACGACGTCACAGAAATTGGAGTTGAGTTTTCCTGCTGGGGTAAAGTTACCCCAGCCAGAGCTTTTTCTTTCTAATGGGAATATTTAAATAATTACTAGCTATAAAATTAGTTGTCTAGATGAAGTAAATACTGTGACTTATTTTGTATTTGTTCTTTCATCGGTTGCGAAGTTTTTCGAGATTTTGCTGGGGTAACGTTTTTGGTTTTACTAGATCTTTGAAATGGATAAGCGGATTCTTATCATATTTTGTTTAAAGTTTAAAGTAAGTCTTTAGAGCTCTTATTGAGAGTGCTGGGACCAATTGAAGTGTTTACCTATTTAATGAAATAACCTTTAAGCTATGTATTATTTAGATTATTTATTGCATAACAAATTTAAACTACAAAATATGATAAGAATCCGCGTAACCCCAGCAAAATCTCGAAACAACAACAACATTTACTTCATCTAGACAAGTAATTTTATAGCTAGTATTTTTTTAAATATTCCCATTAGATAGAAAAAGGTCTGGCTGCGGTAACGTTACCCCAGCAGGAAATGTTTTTGTGAAATTATTAAAAAACTATAAGCGCATCAAATATTACAAATGTGCGCCACAATTACAGAAGCTGCAAAATTAATTATCTATAAAATTCAAATAACCATTTTCGAGAACATCTGGCCTGGGTAACGCACACGCAGGCAGTTGCCCAGTCACCGCGCCAACCGTGTCGTCATAATCGTGCTTTCTCGAACTTTGCTGTATCTAGCCAGCGTACTCTAGCAATACGCAGGAAATCGTCACAAATCACAAAAAAATAATTAAAAAGCCCCAGTTTCATACTTACAGCGTCATAAATGGGATTCTCAGCCAAAGCTGCATCGAGAGCCTTGTCCGGCACAATAGTGATCTCCCTAGAACACAACACGGGGTCAGCGCCATCTAGACCAGCAATAGTCACTGTTACCTGGAATTATAAGAACATATTATGTTATTATTGAGTGACTTGTTTGATTTTATGATTTTTTTTATGGGATAAGCCGGTTAACAAACATATAGATCACCTGAAGGTAAGCAATTGGTGTCGCCCAAGTACACAGGTCACCGGAGGTCCAATTACACCCCTCCCCTTCTCCAATCTCCCCAATCCCTGAATCCCCATAGATCCTCAAACTCCTAATCCCTAAAAGGTCGGTAACGCACTTGTAACGCCTCTGGTATTTCAGGTGTCTATGGGCGACGCCGATTGCTTGCCATCAGGTGATCCGACTGCTCGATTATCGGCTTAAACCACAAAAATGAAAAATGGTGTGAGCATAAACATTTTCACTGCACTGCAAACGGCTGCATCTCTAAGTGTTGCAGTGTGAATTTCCGCATGAACATAGAAGAAAATGGCTCATACTCACTCCTCCCCTCCTCAACACATCAGCAGTGATGACAGTCTCCATCTCCTCGGCACCCTTTGCCAAAATTACTAGCGCAGTCTTCGACATTGTTGGGCAGGCACAAGTTTTTAATCTGAAAAAAAGATTTTTTCTTGCATAATTTCTGAATTACTGTCCTTATCCTGAAAACCCTGACTCTAGGTTGACGACACACTTGTGACTCCCCTGGGGCTAGGGGTATATATGGGTGACACACATTGCTTACCATGAGCATTTTTTCAGTTCTGTCACAAAAAATAAATAGTACACTTCTGTTCTCAAAATTGTTACTTAAGTTTAACTGAATATTATTACTTAGACTCTGGGATTCCAAGCATGAATAACTATCCCATTTGTAACATAGTAGTAATAGTATAAAGCGCGTTTGGTGCTCTGATTGTGTTTTCTACTGGGATAAGTTGGTAAACGAGCAGACGGATCACCTGATGGTAAACAATTGGCGTCGCCCATGGATACCTCGAACAGCAGAGGCGTTACAATGTGTGGCTGTGGTATCACTCCAGTCGAGCCGGCCCATTCGTGCCGAAGCACAGCTCTCCCACACTTAAAACTTTACTGGAGCCCGCATTACATTACGAATGCGACAGTCATTCGTGCTTGCTTGGCCTTCAGAACTTCAAGTTTGTCTGTCTTTTTTTTTTTTAACATTCATATTTCATAGTTAAGGCTTTGACTGCCAATAAAAAACTGTTGAAGGCAAATCCTTCGCTAACGTTGGTCACCGGTGACCCCCATGGCGTATAATGTGTAAAGACTTGACATCTCCACAGACAATATATATTTACCTACTGAATCAAAAATACAGTTTAGAACTCAATAAAATCAACATGATTGATTTTGTTTAAACTTGTGTATAAGTTTGTGAGTCCTCTACGGAAAAAAGCCCTTCTTATTAAATAAAGATTTAAAAAAAAAAAAAAAAAATTTGTGAGTCCAATAAGAAACATAAAAAAGTGCATCAGATGAGGAAAAATAACTACTTGTGAATCACGACTCACAAGTTATCACTTGTTGTTTTGCAATGCAACCTAGTTAGCTGTACTTAATGCAACTTGAATGCACTAATTGAGGAAAATACACAGCATTTTGAACAGTCTTCAAATGACATAAATAAAATGTTTGACCTAAAATACAATAATAATAAATGATATAAAAAAAATTCACTTCATATAAAGCACAGGTTCGGCCCCACATAGAATACTGTTCTCATCTTTGGGTGGGGGCATCCAGTACCAGCTTTTTCCTCTGGACCGCGTTCAGCGGCGTGCCGTTCGGAATGTTGAATGTCGGGATGTTTCAAACCGGCTAGACACTTTGGCAATGCATAGAGATTTAGCTTCATTGTGCATTTTCTATCGCTTATAGGTACCACGGGGGGTGCTCTGAGGAATTGTTTGACCTGATACCTGCTGCATATTTTTACCATCGATCCTCATGACAGCATATGCATCCCCATTATATGGATGGTTGGCAGGCCAAAGCTGTGCGATTCTCACGTAGCTTCCTGCCTAGCACAGTAAAACTGTGGAATGATCTGTCGTCGGAGGTATTTCCGAACCGATACGACCTTCAAACATTCAAGAAAAGAGCGTATTCCTTTTTAAAAGGCCGGCAACGCAACTGTTACTACTCTGGTGTTGCGGATGTCCATGGGCGGCGCCGATCGCTTACCATCAGGTGACCCGTCAGCTCGTTTGCCTCCTATTCCATAAAAAAAACTTCGTATTTTAAGACTAGGCTAACTTCTGTCACCGATTTCGATAGCATTCCCATGGAATAAAAAGTAGCCTATACGTTATTCAAGACCATAACTTACCCATGTTCTAAAACATATCCCAATCCGTTTAGGCGTTTTAATGTGATTGAGTAACAAACATACACACAACTCTCGCTTTTATAATATTAGTAAAATAGTAAAATGTAAATAATTATGATAATGTACGCCGCTGTTAAAAGGATCCAATGGTTGTCTATTACTATTTGAACAGACGATACTTAATTTAAATGAAAGATTCTGAATATCTAAACGACCTATCCATTCATCGTCAAAATTAATACCAAAAACCATCAAATAATGAATATTGTGACTTTTGCAAGTTTTTATAAGGTTTATGATTAATTCGAATTCTAACTAATTGAATCAAAGTGCGACCTACGTAATTTTGGTTATGAAATTCTCGAACAGTCTGTGATATTAAGTTCAGAATATTAATTAGTACAGGAAGAACTTACCTGCTTTGCACACTGTTAAGGCTTAAAACCAATATTTGTTTATACTTCGAGTGAAATTTAGTTCTTACAAAACCACGGAACACCATCTAAATACGAAATACGAGAATTTTGACAGAATTTTTGTTGAAGGTCAAACAAAAAGTCAAAAATTGTACCGGTATTCGTTCAGAAAGTTATAGAATTTTTTCTAGATCTGAAACATAATTTAAGAATTCAAATTGCAATAAATATGGATCATTTAAATGTGAGAACATTAAATAATTTGATCATTACTTAAGTGAAATAATTTGAATTATTACTTGAGCGAAAATCAAAGATTGTAATTGGTGATTTCCGAACAAAAAATAAATAGAGACTAGTCTATGGTAGTGTTGCTAGTTTTTAACAGTTCCCGAATATTGAGGATATACACGTAATAAAAATAAAAGTATCAATATAAAAAGTAAATAAAAAAAAAATTATCGTTATACGAACAGTAGATAGATGTGTAAATAATTTAATTTTTATGCTCCTTTGATTTATATATAACGTCATAAATGATAACATTATTTGTTTCTCATGAAATTAATAAGCTGGATTCGCTAAAATATTACTTAACATTACTAAGTTGGAGCTGTTGTTGATTGTTTACAATCTACCTAACTAAAATATGACAATTCATTTTCAAAAAAAATATTATACGAAATAATAAAGATAAAATGATTAAGCGAAATAAAATTATTAAACGAAATATCCAGCAAAGCTCGACTTGCTGTAATGCAGTGTGTATTGACCCCAACGCTTATGTATGGTGGTGAATCATGGGTGTGGCAGAAGAAGCATGAAAACAAGATTAATGCGGTGGAAATGAGAGCCCTGAGAAGTATATGTGGACTAAAATTGAGTGATCGAGTGAAAAATAGTGTTATTAGAGAAAGGTGTGGATTGAAAGATGATGTAGTGACAAGGATTGAAAAGGGAATGTTACGCTGGTTTGGATATGTAGAAAGGGTGGATGAAAGTAGAGTAACGAAAGAAGTATACAGAGCGGGTATGAATGGGGCCGTCGGTAGAGGGCGCCCTAGACGGACATATAGTGACCAGATTGGCGATATATTAAAGAAGGGCCAAATTAAAAGTACCCTTAACCGACGAGCATGCATGAAAAGATGACTGTTAATGAAGCGAAAGAGGTATGTAAGAATCGTAGTAATTGGCGTTCCTTAGTCTCTGCCTACCCCCATGGAAGACAGGCGTGAAGTTATGTATGTATGTATGTGTAATAAAGCTTAACTCGTCGAGTACCGGTTTTATAGACACAATTAACTCGTCGAGTACCGGTTTTATAGACACAATTAAAGAACAATAGGTCGCGGTCACCGGTGACCGCTTGGTGTTTGACAGTTTAAAGAACAATAGATCGCGGTCACCGGTGACCGCTTGGTGTTTGACAGTTTAAAATAAAAGCGAAATATTTGTTTTTATTTTGAATTGTAAGTACAATGTCATTTACCTACTGTTTTTTTTTAAGTGGGGAAAATCATCGAATGACTGTCCCGCCTCGCGCAGGCGGGAGCAGTCATCATTTACTGTAAGAATAGTTAAAAACACTCTGTACGTCCAATTACCACCTTTTATAGTTTCTTTAGTCCAGTTGTAACATTTTCATCATTTCCGTTTTTGCTGCAATCCGCAAAATTGACAGAAATTATCGAATGTTTCCGTTAACATATATTTTAACGCAGTAAGAAAATATATTGTAGCAAAATAACGTAAGCAAAACGGGTAAATTCAATTCGCCAGCGACATCCCCGACAGATGTTCGTTGACGGCAACTCTACTTGTCTATACTCAGCTTCCTTTCTTTCATTCACAGAATCGGAAAGGATACGAAAAACTCATTTTTTTATACTATTACTTTTACAAATATACTTACAATTTAAGTAAGGAGTCATGTGATTAGCAATATTTAGTGTAAATTACGCATTTACATGTTTTTAAAGTGTATATTTTAAGTCAAATAATTTAGTGTTTTGTTAGGTTAGGATCATACTATGGCTAGTATCTGAGAGTTATTGTTTCAAATTTTTTATAGTATAAAACCGTGTAAAATCATGGATTTTGTGAAAAGAGAGGACCAGAATGTCATGGACGATGATAATTACAAGTTTTACCTCGAAAGCGTAAGTAATTCATTAATGTTTGTTTTAATTCAAATTCGTTCCGTTTTTCACATAAAAACTATTGATAACGTGACTAAAGTTCCGGGTATGGATCCCGGCCCGGTTGATGTATTCTAGTTTTTTGGCGCCTTCACTTTTTGTTGGTTTCTGTTTCAAACAGTGCACTTATTTAAAAAATTAGTTTTTTCATTAATATGGTTAAGTAAACAAAATCAGTCTCTTGTTTTTTTTTTTATTTCTACATTTTTCTAGTAACTTGGTATTATCTATGATTTATTAATTGTTCTATGTTTTTAAAAAATGTACTTTCTGTGTTACCATGACTAGAAATTAAAAAGCAGGCCTAATTATCACCAATAAAGAGAAAAAATGTCAAACAAAAATATATAGTTAATATTATTCAATCAGCTGTATATTATAACTATAATAATATACAATTGTTTACTAATTAGTTTTTAATTTATGATACTTCATCTTTGTTTGGTTTATGTTCTTTTTTTTAATTTTTGTTTACAGAAATTTTTAGGTGTTGTAATTATACTTGTGATTAGATACCTATTTTTTAATCTATAACATCTTAGGTACTGAATTTAATATAAATGAGAATGTTTATCTCCTTTTTATATTAATATTATATGCTTTTTATATACAATTCAAGAGACTTTGTTCCGAATTTAATCATATTTTAAGTATAACTATATGCTCCAATATATTTTAAAATTAATTTAGTAAAAACATAGGAATAATTATGACTATATTTTAACCGCGTAGACTTACAGCTAAACACACACATGACACCTAGACCCAAAACACAAGCCCTCCTTACTTCTTGTAGACACAAACTCGGTTCTGGTTTAAAAGACAGAACAACTCTTTGTGTGATCCACAATCAAATTTTTGTTTGGGGTCTGGATGTGATGTGTATGTGAACTTGTATGTTTGTAAACGCACCCAGAATACAGGAGGAAATACTAGTGTGGGACACCGTTTTTTAAAGAAAAAGAAAAGAAACATACTATTGTATTTGTAATGCTACTTAACCGTTTGAATGACCAGGATAACATTATAGGTCATTCTGTATCCGTACGGATAAGGTACCGCAGCCCAATAGGGTAGATGACTAATTTTTATTTTAATATCCATCTGGTAGATTGTTTTAAAGATTTGGACACAATTTTATTTTTTACAGATACAAATACTTTTAACCATATTGATTTGTAATGTTTCGTGACATCATTTCCAGAGACGTTTTATATGTGGAAATAACTTAAAGCTTCCATTCCTAAACTTTGATTTGTTTATCTAGGTATTGGGTTTTTATACGACAAAATAAAAAAATTGTGTCTTATTTGTTTTCATTGCCTAACTGACGGACTAAATAGATTATTAATTTTCATAACCCGTCATCATCTCCATTCGAAGTAGGAGTAGGAATAGGGTGGTTTTTAGTCAGTAAGAGTTTAACACTCTCTTGCCTCACCAAAGGCGGGAGTCATATGATGATTTGCCCTTAAAAAAATTGTTCGTTTCAATGGTCCTATTGTACAGTGGCCAGCATTGCAAGCTACTCCAATCTACGCCATCAAACGAGTTTAGATTTAAGTTCACACCTCTGTAAAGTTTCACTGTATTTTTTAAAAAAAGATCTGTAAAATTATTATTTAGTTAGAAAGCGATTAAGTTTAAAATTGAATACAGAAAGGCTATCATTTTTTTGAGTCTTTACTGAAAGTGGCCCATGTAAAAAAATGGTATGTATCGTTAGAACTAGCCGTTTGGAGCAAAAGTTAATATGGCGTGAAAGTTGTTGGATCCAATATGACGAAGTTATACCAGTTCCAATATTAGCAGGTATTAGTAAGAAGATAAAAACTAGTTGTTAACCTTGACTTATTTCAATATTTCAAGATCAGGCCATTTCATTTTATTAAGAAAATTAATATTGCGGTTTTATTTCCTCAGTCTATCTCATTCCTTCATTCAAGGGTTAAATTAATTTGCCTACAATCTGCATGATGGAAAGTAGTTGTCAATTAAAAATATACTAAACCAGCTTATAGATTTTTCTGTTAAAAATTGCAGTTTTTTTTTGGTGGGTAAAATCATCCACTTTTTCTGCCTTGGGTGGGGTGAGAGAGTCTCTTAATACCACCATTTTCCTAATCCTGCTTTGAAAAAGTCTTTTGTCGTATAATAAAACAATACTTAGATAAAACGAATCAAAGTTTAGTAGTGGGGGCTAAAACGTCATTTCTACGTATAAAATGTAGGTTACATAGAAGTGACGTCACGCGACATTTCAAATCAATATATCGTCGAAAGTATTCGTTTCTGTAAGAAATTAAAAAATACGTGTCTAATGATTTAAAATAATCTGCCAGACGAACATTAAAATAAAAATTAGGCATCTACCCTATTACGGCGGTACACATCTGTATGCACGTAAATCCGTCTAAATTGATTTTACAAATTGCGCTTCACTCCTCTCCTTACCCGTATTTGCGCAGTTGGCTAGTCGTGACTATAAGACGTTATTCATAACAATCTCCTATTTATTTTATTGTATCAGCATTTACATGTTTCGTTTAAGAGTTAGTCAGGGCAAATACAACTTACTTATTTATTCAAGTATTCAAAGACGACTTTTAGGCGAATGCTTGTCCAACGAAACAGTCATATATTTATTCGGCACGATTGGTGCGGTGGCTGGACGACCGCCTGTCGCACAACGCGTCGAGGGTTCGATTCCCACACGGAGCAACTCTTTGTGTGATCCAAAAATTGTTGTTTCATGTCTGCGTGCCATTTGTATGTGAACTTGTATGTTTGTAAACGCACCCACGACACAGAAAATCCTAGAGTGGGGCAAAGTTTTATTTTAAAAAAATAACGTAATCAATATTGTCTTTACCTTCCACAGCTGCAAAGGTCTCACCACCTCGAACCAACGGATTACCAGCACTCTCCACTATCGATGGAGCAACTCCATCAAGCGATGCAATCGTCCGTAGCGAGTACAATCGTCCACAATCTAGAACTACCACTGTCTCCTCGACAAATATCATCCTTAATGCTAAAAACGAACCATTTGCAACGAAACCTAAATTTCAACGAAGTTCCAGCACACATGCAACGAAATATCACATCGGAATTGGATCTAGTGCATAATCTAAACGAACTACCTCAAAATCTAAATAGGCATGATGACTTATTAGGGCAGAATCTGAGCAGGAATCTAGATTTGTCTCTAAGATCTTTAGGATCCGATTTGGACCTTCAGAATAATTTAAGTCAACTGGCGCAGAATTTGAACGAGAATCTGAGCGCAGATTTGAGTCGTATAAGCGATTTGAGAACGGATATACCTCACGATTTAAGCCATGAAATAGATTTGTCGCATCATTTAAATAGGCCAAGTATGGATCAGGAAATAATGGGCCAAGACGAGACGAGACGGACTCCAATAGTGATGCAGGATCCTCATATGTTGGATCAAAGTTTGGGGCCAAGGTTGGGGACAACGATGAATGTCCATGAACGTTTGGACCAACAGGAACATATGTTGCCTATGCCATTTCATATTAAGTCGGAACAAGAAGATGATGGTTATTTTTACGAAAATATCAGTCCGGTCATCAACAGTGTTTCGAGTTTAAATGGTGAGTGTTTTTTGTACTTTTTGACTATTTTACAGACGGTCAGAGGTGTATCTTTCTCTTTGAAGTCACTGTATATATTTCAGTTCGTAAAATGAAGTTTAGTAGCAATTTCTGTGGTGTTGCCTTGATCCGGGGTTTAAAACTTAAAAGCTACCTAACTTATTTTTCAAATGAAGGATAACTTATAATGTTTCTTACTGTACTTTTTCTGGCAATTCTTTACGTAAACTAGTTCATTCCAGGATCTATAGCTTATAGGCAAAATGCTAACGTACAATGGAACTCTTATAACCCAAGGTACACAATGTACAAAATTGGCCCACTATCCTATGTCGAAATTTTGACAAAATTGCTTTCCCTTTGCCAAACTTCGCCTCGAAAATTAAAGTACTTATCTACTAAAATCACTTTATTTGACCAGTAAAATCAGTAATTCACATGTAGGTAACCTTTCCAAAGCATTATAACCTTTAAGAATATTATAATTGAAAGTATTTTCGTACTGAATCAATTACCAAACTTGTTTTATAATAGTTAAATGGTTTTATTCAATACTAGCTTTTTTGCGTTGCGCTATCGTGAGGTAGGTATAAGTATAATCTAGATTTCTTCTCCTACTAAGTAGGTATTTCATTTCTCCCTATTCGGAAAATTCGGTGGAATTGACCATTCATGCAAAGATGTATTGCCATTTTTTACAATTGGCGATTTGGGGATCGGGAGACCGAAATATAAGCGTTGTATCACGGTAGTTTCCTTTGAGGCCGTGGTAGCACGTCGGTGGAACCGGACTAATAATGTAAAGAAGCAGCATAGTTTTCTGACGTCATAAAATTTACAATCAGAAGAAAAGAGCATTATCATCATCATCAACAGCCTCTTCGAATAAGTGCTCACGACTGAGCAAAGGCTTCTCTTACCCCGTTTAAATTACCATCAGAGAAAGAGCTCACTCCTTTTTCTCCTCTGGTGTTGCGAGTGTCCATGGGCGGCGCTGATGGCTTACCATCCGATGATCAAATGATCTGCTCGTTTACCACCTATTCCATAAACAACATACATTGATTATTGACTTTTCTCTTTACTCATTTGATTGGCGTATAATACCATTTTTCTAAGTGGGCAGTTTCCTCACGACGTTTTCCTTCATTTTATCGTCGACTAGGTTCTGCCCGAGACTTCGTACGCGCAATCCCGTTTCTCTCATTCCCGTAGGATTTTTAGGACTTTTTGACTGTCATAAGAACCTTCTCGTGACGATAACAAACACAACAAAAAAAAAATAGTCAAATCGGTCGAGCCGTTCTCAAGTTATGGCGTGACAACGGGAAACGGGTTTCATTTTTTTATATATAGATTAAGAAAGGTTAAATCTAACTTTTATTTGAATATTTTGCACAAAAGTTTGCATTGCTTTTTAAACTATGACGTCTTAGAGTGCATTAAAAAACAAGATGTATTCGTTAATGTGTATTATTTATTTAAATTATTATCATCTGTATATGATAGAATGCGCAGATTGCATTTCATTTAAATAATATGAGTATTTGGGAGATTACTAATAGACGATTTGGCTGATGGGGCAAAAAAGTTCTATTATGGAGGCCACCGTAGTAGCAAGCGCAGTGAATGACGTCTATCCACAAGGTAGATGGATTCACAGGCCTTTGTCTGCGACTTACTCTCGGTTTCATGCGTGGGCAGGCTCGTATTTATGACTAGTTTTGTTTGTTTGATTTTAACATATCTGCAATTATTAAAAATACCCTTAACCGACGAGCATAGAGCCGCGGAGAACGTAAAAGGTTACCGGGGCTCCGGCTCGAAGTGCAGGAGTAGGAACGGGGTGGTTTTTAGTCAGGAAGAGTCTGAGACTCTCTCATCTCACCCAGGCGAGAGTCGCTCGATGATTTTCCCCTTAAACCGACGAGCATGCATGAAAAGACTGATGACTGTTGATGAAGCGAAAGTGGTATGTAAGAATCGTAGCAATTAGCGATCCATAGTCTCTGCCTACCCGGATAGGAGACAGGGGTGAGGTTACGAATGTATGTTGCAATTATGAAATTAAGTGTTGTATAATTTTAAAACTTTTGAAATATCTGACTAATGCCCGTTTTTGCCAACCTCTTTTAAATTTTAAAGAATACCTCACCTCAGAACCTATTAGTGACACCTAACGGTATAAGTAGGGGGTTAAATTAGGTGCTATGCTACGTAACTTCTCACTCTAAGTAATTTTTAATTTTGAACTGATTTAGGGGTGATTAAAATCGGCTATAAAACCTGATAAACATCACAGTAAACCGCTGACAAAAACTAAACGAAACACAACGCAAGCGTTGTTTCACGTCGGTTTTTTATGGGGCCGTGTTATCACTCTATCGACTCTGCCCATTTGTGCAGAAGCATGGCTCTCCCATACTAAAAATGTCATTGGAGTTTCTGTCAAAAAGTTAAATTAATCCTGAGATTTCGGGCTAAAATCAGTTTTTGTCCGTTAGCTGGCTTCTAAAATACCCACAAAAAGGGAAGAGATGGTACGTAACAAATTAATTCATCTCTGCCGTCATCACGCCTTCATTTAAAAAGAGATAATGAATTATTTTCACATTTCTAACATAATTTTCTCAAGGTCAAGTCCGAATCTGAATAGCCGTTAATAAATTAAAATGACTTTATAAATTATTCAAATTTTATCGTTGACGTAAGCCGTAAGGGGCAGTGCACATTGAATGGAGAATGCATAGCGTATGTTGTAAGTTATTTTTTTGTCTCATTATAATTTCCGGAGGTCATTGTCAATTTTATGCTGAATTATGCAGCAGTTTGTTAACAGCTGGGACAGTTCAATGCTGGATATGGGTCTCCGATTCGGAGCCGCGGTGAACCTAACGGGTAACCGGGGCTCCGGCTCGACGTGCAGGAGAAGGGACGGGGTGGTTTTTAGTCAGTAAGAGTCTGACACTCCCTCCCGCCTCACACAGGCGGGAGCAGTCTTTCGATGATTTTCCCCCCTTAAAAAAAATGGGTCTCCTCTACATAAGATGGTTTGCCGTAGCCCTCAAGCTTGACAGACAGGTTGTAGGTGGTCAAATGTCTATTATTTAGAAGTGGATTGACAGTGCCCTAGACAAGCACCTCACAGACGGCCCTAAGTTTTTTTAGCGCCGCCCACGTTCTATAGACACGCATTTCGCGACCTCTCTCTTTAAGTCTCGCGGAGTTTGCCTTAGGGATAATACTGTTCTGCTAGTACTCTAGTCAGCTCTAACGACATCCACGGCAGGAGAAGGGGTGGTGATTGTGACAAATGTCGTAACTTTGCCGCCAACGCATAAGCTGTTAATGTATAGGGGATCTGAAACCAAAACTACTTTCGTGTCAGTGATGGTTTATGTTATAAGTTTCGTGAGACATTCTAAATTATTTATAACTAGCTACTTCCGCGTGGTTTCACTCGCTCTGCTCAGTGCCTATTAATCGTAGCGTGATGTTATATATCCTATAGCCTTCCTCGATTAATGGACTATCCGATACAGAAAGAGTTTGTCAAATCGGACCAGTAGTTTTGGAGATTAGCGCGTTCAAACAAACAAACAAAAAAACAAACTCTTAAGCTTTATAATATTAGTATAGATATTTTTCAGCTTACTCGCGTAATTATTTGACGAGGAACTCGACTAGTTTCAAGCCATGCTAGAGGCTTGATGAAAAGAGCGTATTCCTTTTTAAAAGGCCGGCAAGGCACCTGTGACTCTTTTGGTGTTGCCATCAGGTGATCCGTCTGCTCGTTTGCCTCCTATTCCATAAAAAAAGCTCATATTCATGAGCAGCATTCCACGACCTGCGACACAGCGACTGTCGCGCTGCTACTCTTTAAACTGTCAAACACCAAGCGGTCACCGGTGACCGCAACCTATTGTTCTTTAATTGTGTCTATAAATACGGTACTCGACGAGTTAAATAATAATGTGAGTAAGTCTAAAAACATAATAATTAATTTAGTGATGGTTGCTTAAACTTTCAAGACTTTTTTTTAATAAAAATCAGATTCATCTAACAAGCCCCTAATTACAACATTGCATCCTAATATACTAGTTTTTTTAATAGGCGCCACTCGTTTCCAGTCGCTTCTAAAATAGCAATTTACATCAGATCTCATCTTTAAACCTGAATTCATTCCATTAAATTGTTAGACTCGTCTGTATGAAAAAAACTGCTTAGAACATAAAAAATGCATGAATTAATTTGTATGTATGTATGTATGATGAGGAAAAGGTCATAGGATCTTGATTTTGTTTACCTTGATAAGTGGGTGCAAGTTTGCCGTGGTTATGGATGGGTCGGGCAAAGAATTATTGGGTGTTTATACTGACGTTTGAAGGCAACGCAGTTAGCGTGATGACGGCGGAGTATCACTTCCACCGCGGTTGTAGTATACTCGACTAATGCCGGAATACTGAAACGTTACTCAATTTTAAGTCGTGCTTAAATATCGTTCCATCTCTGTCATTTCACAAAGAATTAGTGGTGACAGAACTATACTTAAGCGCGACTTAAAATTGAGTAGCGTTTCAGTCTTCCGACATAAGTGACTACTCATTTGGCAGAGGCAGCAGCGCTCTCTGATAAAACTGAACCTTTTATACTGCGATTTCCAATGCGCCTGCTTAGTGTGGTGGATCGAACCTTCTTATGTAGAGGGGATCCATAGTCTAGCGGTGGTCTTTGACGATTATATAGGACTCTGTTTGCCAATTAATGCTTTCCTAGATCCATTTTTTAAGCCGGTAAACGAGCAGACGGATCACCTGATGGTAAGCAATCGGCGTCGCCCATGGACACCTGGAACACCAGAGGCGTTACAAGTGCGTTACCGGCCGTGCGTAACCAAAAATTTAATCAAAGAAAACATTATTTTATTTTTGAAAAGAAAGAAAACGACATTAAAATTTTTTTAAATTCCCTTGCCGCACTCGGTAATCGTACCGACTAAAATCTGTAAAAGTTGCACCCTGTAATTTTATTGCATCGATCGTTAGAGTCAATAAGAATGAAATCTCTTTAACAAACTTCATAAATTCGATGAACTGACTGCACGGTTGATGCGGTGGCTGGGCAACCGGCTGCCGTGTAACGTGTCGCGGGTTCAAGTCCCGCACGGAACAACACTTTGTGTGATCCACAAATTGTTGTTTCGGGTCTGGGTGTCATGTGTATGTGAACTTGTATGTTTGTAAACGCACCCACGACACAGGAGATAATCCAAATCCGTGTGGGGCAACGTTTAAAAAAAAATACAAAATGAAATCTTAAATTATTTACAAAAAATTGTAAACTAAGTAATTAATTCCTCGAATGGGCTATATTTTCTGGGATACACAAATTTATTCTTCTAACGAATTCATTTCTAGTAACCTTTAATAACGTGTTGTGGTGAATGTTATACTATAAATCGTATTCTGAACTCCCAACTCTCAACTCGTTTATATTCTCATAATATTTAATGTAAATCCTTAGATTATTTAGTTATCACTGACAAACGGTGAGGGAAGACATCGTGAGGAAACCTGGACTTTATCACTACATAGTATAAAACAAAGTCGCTATCTGCCGTCTGTCTGTCCCTATGTATGCTTAGATCTTTAAAACTACGCAACGGATTTTGATGCGGTTTTTTTATAGACAGAGTGATTCTTAAGGAAAGTTTATATGTATTTTTTTTAAGGGGGGAAAATCTTCGAATGTCTGCTCCCGCCTGGCGGGAGGGAGTGTCAGACTCTTACTGACTAAAAACTACCCCGTTCCTTCTCCTGCACGTCGAGCCGGAGCCCCGGTTACCCGTTAGGTTCTCCGCGACAAGTTTATATGTATATATACATGAATATTGAACCCTTGCGAAGCCGGGGCGGGTCGCTAGTAATGTACAATTATAAGATTGAAATCGCAAACCCGTATTGAGCAAGCGTGGTGATTAATGCTCAAACCTCCGTGTGAGAAGAGGCTTTTGGTCAGCAGTGGACACTTATAGCCTGTTGATGATTTAATGATATACCTACTTTTATGTATCACACAAGGGTCGTCCCGTATGAGAATTAAACCCAAACCACGTCAGACAGCAGCCTGTCGCTCATAAAAGTATATGGGTCACTTATTTTAATAAAATAAAACTGACGTTATCTTAAATTATTTATAAACATCAAAAAGGGGTTATCGGAAGAGTCGGGTGACTCTTGTTCTGTAATGTTATCCGGTTGGTTTTGGAATTGCCCATGTGTCATAGCGATCAGACCTATGACAAAAGGAAAAGACAAATGTACATACTACCTTTTGTTAGCGGCTTTGCCTTCCCGTGGGATGAAAAGTATCCTATGTGGTATTGCAGACCATAAACTACCCTTGTTTCAAATTTGCAACTTCTGCCCGCTACTTCGGACGCGCAATCCCTTTT